GGGGGGGGGGGGGGGGGGAAAGAAAAGGATAAATAAATTAACAATACAAAATATATGAGACGAGATGACCCGGGTACTAAAAATAATACCCCCCCACCCCTCACAATTATTCCCCAACATTAAATCATAATTATATAGTTTATTGTTTAAATCCATAGGTTTCGGAGCCTTAAATGTAACTAGACTTCTCATGACCACGATTCAAGACTATTGAATAGTATTTCCCTACCCCTCCCCCCACCAATCCCCTGCACACCCTCCAACATTTTGGGTAGATTCCATGATTACTGGCACGATAGCGATACTCATTATATTTTTTTTTCTTTATTGTTCTTATTTTATGTAGTGGCTACAAAGCCCTTTTCCAACATTAGAAAAGTATTATCATTTTTGACAATGTATGATTTTATGTTGAATGTATGTTATATATCCAGTAGACCAGTGGTTCTAAGCCTTTCTTATGCCGCGACCCTTTCATACAGTTCCTCATATTGTGGCGACACTCATTTTTTTTTCTAGTTGATACTATATATATATAGAGAGTATATGTGTTTTCAGATGTTCTTAGGCGACCTATGTGAAAGGGTCGTGCAGCCCCCCAAAGGGTGGCACGACCCAGAGTTTGAGAATCGCTGGTTCGGACCATCACATGTCACCGGCGTGGCAGAACACGTAACAATAGCTATTTTGACTTTAGATGTTTTAAAGATACGTTCAAAGCTTCTATCATTTATTGGATTAGCGGGGGGTGGGTTGGGAGCTTGCTAGTTTGGGGATGGGGCAGTAAATGTTCAGTAATTCAGTCATTTGTTCATGAGATTGTCATGAATTTTGTTTTATCTAACATTTTTTTAATGTATCTTTTTTGTTCTGTCTAAACCAAAGCATGCGTTAACCCATAAGGCACATGCTTAAAACCGTGTTCGTGTTTTATAAATAACTCAACTGAAAAAAAAAAAAAAGTTTTATAAATAACCAAAATTAAAAAAAAAAAAAAAAAACGAAAAAAAACAAACAAATGTAATAAGATTTTAATACCACATGATGTGTTTTTACACCGTCTATCCCCATGATTACATACGTATTCCGATTATACAACTTTCCACAGTGATTAATTCCTCAATATCGCCAGGACGTACCACAATTTCCGCAGGTGGGGCTGTTTGCAACGGGCGTGTATCCTTCCTTGCACACGCACTTGCCCCCGACGCAGGGTCCTTTGAGGGTGGCGTCTCCATCACAGTCGAAGTCCATGCGACACGACCTGCCAGGGGCTACAGAGACGATAAAAACGACGGTGATATTAAGAAGTATTCTCGACTTATAGAGATTATAAGACATATTCTGGACCTATGGAGATTATAAGATTATTCTGGATCTATGGAGATAATAAGATTTATTCTGGACCTAGAAAGATAATAAGACTTATTCTAGTGCTAGAAAAATAATAAGACATATTCTTGACCTATATAGACAATACTATATATTTTAAACCTATAGAGGTAATAAGAATTATTCTGGAGCTATGGAGATATTAAGACACATTCGGGACCTATAAAAATAATAAGATATATTCATTGCCTATATAGACTATGCGATATATTTTGAATCTATAGAGGTAAAAAGACTTATTCTGGAGCTATAGAGATATTAAGAACAATTTTGGACTTATAGTGATAATTAGACTTATTCTGGAGCTATGGAGATAGTATGGCTTTTTTATGCTATATAGAAATAATCGGACTTTGTCTGGAGCTATAGAGATAAACTGTATGATAAGAATTCCAAAAGGCTCTAGAAATAACACAAACGATTTCCCAGTTAGCCGATAAAATGACAACTATGACCACAAAAAAAAAAAAAAGCAACAAAGCAAGTTTACATTGTGATAGCCTTGTAACGCAGGCACGTCAGCTGAATAAGGTTGAATAAAGAAGGCAATTCATTTTCCATACATCTCAAGCAAGGAGTGTGAATGGATATGTGCACAAGGAATTTATGGAATTTGATTTGACGGGCCAGGACTGGAGACTAGTGCAACTTTAGTCAACCACTTGTATGTAAGAGCTGTTATAGACATAATGTGAAATACTTTGAAAATGAGTTGGTAATTATTTGATTTTTTTTTAAAAATTATACTTACACTCTTCAGTGTCGAACGTGTAGTCTGGCTCTCTCTCTATGACTGAAATATGATTAAACAAAATATTTATTATTTTTCGTTTTTAAATGCAGTAAAGAAAATACATATTTTGGTTGAGACTTGACCTTACGTTCTTAAGCCCCCGGTTAGTACGTTGGCAACCAGCTCCATCTGCTGGGCTGGGTCATATAGCAATATCGTGATGTAGGACTCTCCGCCACCCTTGGCTCCACCGCAACATACAATGCAGGGCACGTAGTCAAAGGATGCGCTACTGTCTCCCTGGCCGGCGTGCAATGCCAACAGGAATCAAATGGAACTAACTTGAGTTTTAAAATCGTATTTTCACGTTTTTAAAAAGAGTTATTGCATATTTTTTTTTTAACGGAATAGCGTTACAAGATTTCACCCAGCATCCATCTTAATTATCAATTTTTAAATAATATTCCTTTGCGTTTTCAAAATTCCTGAACCTTATTTAACCCAGTGGCTGTGTTGCGGAGACCAAATTATGATCACCAGAACTTTGGCTGAATGATATCACAAATAGCTTATTGCATTATTTCAATGCAGATCGTTGTATCTTTCTTTAAGGGATCAACATTTCAAATTTAACGTTGCATATGTTTCTTCATTGATGTTTGGAATGAATTTTAAAAAAAAAAAAAATTGAAATTAAGGAAATGAAATATTTAAATACGTACATTTTTCTTCAGTTTTTAGAATTGAACGAATGTCTTGACTATGTTAAAATTTATTTAATGACGTTCGGCACAGGTCGGGACAGACAAGTCTTTGCTCATAACACATTTATTATTGCAGTTTCAACGACATATCAGTTTAAAGATTCCAGGTTCCTAAACAAGAAATTGTTGCTATCCATGTAGAACAAACCAATAACAAATAAAATCACAACCCTACCTATGGTCATGCACAAAAACGCTTTCTCGATCATGCAGTCGCCGACGCCCAGGTTAAACTCCTTATTGATGTACACACACTTTTCCTCCGCGTCAGTGGCTTTTCCATTTAGCATGTCCTGGGGCAGAACCTCACCGTTGTAGAACCACATGAAGGAATTGGCCTGTTTTTCTTCTTTGGCGCCGACCCAGATGTCAACTGAAGACGGGAGGGAAGAGGTGTGGAGGGGGAGGGGGAATGTCAGCCTTTACAGAGGCTGAAGAACAATCACGGGAGCATATGGGTGGGCAACCTGTGGGCCCCAGGAGGCCAATTTTAATGAGACCCGCAAAAATACTGGAACGGGATTCATGTTTTCTTTAAATCTTCATATTGTTAAAGAGTATGTGTTAAGACTTTGAGTTGAAAAACTTCTCAGTGTAAACTGGTTAAAATACAAAGGGGGAAATCAAAGCATATTTTTTTGTAAACAACACCCCAGGTTAGTTTCAAAATGAACTCGGAGCGACACTTCAAAGCAAATTGGTGGCGTCTGATCGAAATAGAAACACTTAGATTCGGATGAAACTCTCACAAGGTAAACACTCAACAAGAAAAAACTGATAATGATAATTTACCATGCGTCCTCCTGAAGGAACATTTTTTGCCCACCCTTTGTCTGGGCGATACGCTATTAATGTAGGACTTGGCTGGTGATCATTGGCTAGTGATGGACGACATTTACTCTAAACAGACAGACAATTTTAGATCAACGAAGTGAAAGAAACAGAGCCGAACAAAAACAAACAATGACAAACAAGATATTTATTAATGAAAAACACCGAGCGAGGCGCTAGGAAAAAAACAACAACTGCAATTTTGAAAAATAATAATCACTAAAATAAATTAATACATGTAATTGAAATCAATAGATAAACTTCAATCCATATTTTATGCAACGTCGTGTTAAGTTATCATTCTACCCGTGAAGTTTCCAATGACTTGAATCAGTAATGCGCGACTTTTGACGATGGCCAGCGTCATGTTCTCGTACTCACAGCAAATCTGTAGAATAATAATTTTTTTCTCCTGTAAACGTAGCTTATAACACTGTATGGACACCAATATATGAGTCGTCAGTTCATTTAAAAAAAATGAAAAACAAATGCCCCCGCGTTAAAGAGAAATTTAGAAAAGGAATTCAATAGTTACTAAGTAAGCAATTTGTTTCTGTTGAATTGCTTACAATAGTCTTCAATTTTATAAAAAGTAAAAAAAAAAACAGGAAAAATTCCATCATGATTTTTTAACATTTAATACATTTATATTCAAAAACAGTTAATATGAAAATGTGAGTATATAAGTGAAGGACTTAAGTTTAGACAGTATATAAGTGAAGGACTTAAGCTTAGACAGTATATAAGTGGAGGACTTAAGCTTATACAGACATCATAGCGAGAACTTTTACTGTAGATGTCTTACTTTCATATAAGGGCTTTCTCGTGACACGTGAAATGGAAAAGGTCATTTGAGAAAAGAAGAACTTTTTCCAGAAACTTTCATAATTTTTTAAAAAGCAATTATTTACACACACGCACCACCACAAAAGTCAGCTGTTTCAAATGGCTCGGGTTTATATCAGGTAGTCCTTGTTTCCATTTGATCGACTTGGACATGTTTTCAAATCTATTTGTGGGGGGGGGGGGGGCTTTCGAAATTCATTGATTGGGGATTTCTTTCTGTCAGCCCACTGACAATCAGTCGACTGTTATTAAAAACTTTTTTTTTTAAAGGATCCTAATTGATTCGTATCGCATTGAACTTTTCTCAACAAAGTTGAAACGTGGAATCGAAATGTTGATTACCTGAGCCTCGTTCCAGTTCTTGTTGTTGTTGTTGACCTCGAAGCACGTGCTGCGCTCATCGCAATGAGTTCTGATCAGTTCAGCCAGGCAGAACCTGAAGTCCGGGTCTTCGAAAAAAATTATAATAATTTGAAACCCTTTGACGTTTGAAAAGACATTGAAGAAAAACTAAACACATGACAGTGTCCTTCTTAGAACGAATGTTAAGTCAAAAGCTTGCGCAGTGGCGAAGTTAGGATTGGTAACGGCCTGGGGTGGGCCAAGATTTTCGTAACGCCCTGCAAGAAAATGATTCTGCTTTTAGCCCGAAAATTCTGCGAGTCAAAATAAACACAATACTAAAGTTACAACCTGGCACCTTAACCACCATTCTAGTAGGTCTGTGAGTTTCTGTGTCTAGCATGATAATATTGATAAGAACATTTTGAAAAAAAAAAAATTCTTCTATGTCTGTATTTCAATCTGCTTTTGTGTTTCATTATGTGCCGTAATCTTTAAACCCATGACAACGTCTACCGGCCTTAGCTATCGACAGAAATAGAAGTGTCTGCACGAGTCCGTGGCGAAACAAGACAAGAAAAATAAAACCTTATGTATCGTGAATAAAACTCGAAACGCTGAAGACAGATTTCGTTGATAAAGAATATTTATGATATAAGCATTTAACTGAGTTGTTTGGCAAATGGAGAAGCGCGCCCCCCTCCCCCCCCCCACCTCCAACGCCACAACAAAACCTTTCTGATCGTTTTTGTAGATTCAGAATCTTAGCTGTCGCTCATTTCTTTATGGTTAATTCCAAATTGGCCGTACACAGAGCCAGACAAGGTCATACACAGAGCTATACAAGGCTATACACAGAGCCATACAAGGCCATACACAGAGCCATAAAAAGCCATAAACAGAGCCATAAAAAGCTATACACAGAGCCATACAAGGCTATACACAGAGCCATTCAAGGCTATACACAGAGCCATACAAGGCTATACACAGAGCCGTACAAGGCCATACACAGAGCCATACAAAGCTATAAAGAGAGCCATTCAATAACATACACAGAGCCATACACATACACAGAAGCATACAAGGCCATACACAGAGCCATACACAGAGCCATACACAGAGCCATACACAGAGCCATACACAGAGCCATACAAAGAGCCATACAAGGCCATACAAAGCCTTAAACATAAATTAAAACACATAATAATTACGTTTTATTTCTTTAACTTTCCGAATTGGAACAATTCTTGGTCAATTTAAAAAAAAAGACATCCTTTTTATTACACACCCACACAGAAATGCAAATGCGTAAGCGAGTCTAAGCATTATTAGATATGATAATTTACCCCCCCCCCCCAAATCTAGGAATCATAGCAATATTAGATATGCTAATTACCCCCCTCCCCTCTTTTTTCCCCACACCATGATATGATTTGAGGTATGATATTCATTGTTTGAAGATTTTATTGAAGCTGAATCTTTAGAAAAGAATTGTTCATATTCATTTAAAAAAAAAAAAAATTAATTTAGCGGTTTACTCTTCTCAACACAAGTGTCGTTCGTACTTATCCATAACGTCTTATAGAGTAACATCGTTTCTCGCATAACGTCTTATTGATTAACCTCGTTCCCCACTAACTATAAAAAATATAAAAAAATATAAAAAAATTCCTAGGGCTAAGACATTACATGAAAAGAAATAATGAAGTAAAAGCAAATAAATTACTTTGGAAATATTGAAAGAGAAATACAATGGTCAAAAAACATTTTAAAAGGTTGCCATTTTTTTTTTTTTTTTTTTTTTTTTTTGGTCTCGCGCCGAAACGTAATGAGACTTCACTTACGTAAGTTCGGGTGAAGGAAGGTTATCGTCAAAGTAAAAGCCAGCCTTATGTACGAAAGTCGCAACATTTCCCGTGATTGAAACCTAAGATGGGCACTTCTTGTTACCGAGAGACAACTGTAACATTCATCGTCACTGAAATAAGGATGGACAGTCCCCGTTGCTGAAAGACATAAAGAAATATTTCTTTACAGAGAGAGAGAGAGAGAGAGAGAGAGAGAGAGAGAGAGAGAGAGAGAGAGAGAGAGAGAGAGAGAGAGAGAGAGAGAGAGAGAGAGAGAGAGAGAGAGAGAGAGAGAGAGAGAGAGAAGAAAAAGAGAGAGAGAGAGAGAGAGAGAGAGAGAGAGAGAGAGAGAGAGAGAGTGAGAGAGAGAGAGAGAGAGAGAGAGAAAGAGAGAGAGAGATAGAGAGATAGAGAAAGAGGGAGAGAGTAGAGAAAGAGAGAGAGAGAGAGAGGGGTGTAATTTTGTTATCTTTCTAAACAAAATGACATAATTAAATTTTCCTTTCACTGATAGTCAAATTGATAACGCGTCATAGTTTCTTTTAACACTGCCAAGCGTGTTGTGTTAGAATTAATACGGAAGTTACATTAATTATTCTTGAATAAAATACAACACAACATCAACGCAGGGCCCCCAGTGCTCAATGCAGACATTCAAACGTTTTGTCCGATCTTTTTGAAAGCTTCCCCGTTATCTGGACCGCTTAATCAGTAGCTGTGTTAACTATTTTATATGAACTAAAAATGAAAGTGTTTATGAGTAAAAAAAACCAATCATATTCCAAACAAGAGTCTCAGTGTTAAGCATAGGGGCGTATTAAAAACAACACAACATGTCTTGAACAAAGATGGGGGGTGGGAGGAAAATGGGTGATGATTGAAAAAGTAGTAGAAGTAGTAGAGGAATTATATTTTATTAAATTTAACTACTGGGTAATTTACTTTTTTTTTTGGTTTAGAAGCTTGTCTCCCTAAAAACGCCAATCCATATAAATACCTACCTAAAGCCTACATGGATGCACTAAATGAAGAACATCTACACATAGAAAAAAAAAGTGCAGTGACCTACAATTTCCTCTTCCTATTGGTGCAACACTTTACCAAATATTTTTCTTTAAATACTGAATTTCTTTTTAATAGTAACCTTTAACTTTACTTCAGATATTTACTCTTTGTTTCATCTATATCTTTACTTTCCTCAATGTTACGCCGATCAAACCGTAAAGCTTTCCTTCAAACAGTTTAAACAAGACGACCGACTAAGGGCTTCTTTTGAAAAGTTTTTTTCTTACGGTGCTGATTGTGTTCGAAATAATTATATATGGAATATATAACAGGAAATCCCCGATTGTAGCTCACAGTGGAGAATGTAAAAAAAAAATTTTAAAAAATATATTCTGGAGTAATTTAAAGCCTTAAAAAATATTTTTAAACTAGACTGAGCCAAATACTTGGAACAGTAAACAGAAACGAAATGCAGAAGAAAACGTTGTTTTTTTTTGTTTTGTTTGCGGGATTGGATCATCATCTTCTGAACTTACGAAAAAAACAGAATGAACAGAAATCACAACGGAATGCTTCCTTTCTTTATTTAAAACAAAGAGATGAAAATATATCATTAGGGCTTAATTGGGTGCTTTAAGCCCTAGTGATATATTTTCACTACATATATATTGTTTTTTTTACACCGAGCCAAGGCCCTTTGAGAAAATAGACGGAAGGACCAAGTGTTACCCAACACGCCCCAGAAAAAAAGCTAACTTCTGATTTTCAGTTTTATTTTCTGGCCTTTACCAATCAACCCAACAGTCATTCATACACCATACCTGCCTGGGCTTAACCAATGGCTCTAAAGACAGTCCTACACCCTACCTGCCTAGCATTAACCACTAGTTCTACAGACTCTACCCTACCTGCCTGGTTTTAACCAAAAGTTCTATAGACAGTCCTATACCCTACCTGCCTGGTTTTAACCAAAAGTTTTACAGACAGTCCTATACCATACCTGCCTGGCTTTAACCAAATGTTCTACAGACAGTCCTACACCCTACCTGCCCGGTTTTAACCAAAAGTTCTACAGACAGTCCTACACCCTACCTGCCTGGTTTTAACCAAAAGTTCTACAGACAGTCCTACACCCTACCTGTCTGGTTTAAACCAATAGAACTACTGACAGTCCTACACTCTACCTGCCTAGTTTTAACCAATAGTCCTACATACAGTCCTACACCCTTCCTGCCTGGTTTTAACCAATAGTTGTACAGACAGTCCCATACCCTCACTTCCTGGTTTCAACCAAAAGTCCTACAGAAAGTCCTACACCGTAACTCCCTGGTTGTAAACAATAGTCCTACAGACAGTCCTACACCCTACCTGCCTGGTTTTAAACCAATATCCCTGCAGACAGTCGTACACCCTACCTGCTGGCTTTAACCAATAATCCTACAGACAGTCCTACACCCTACCTGCCTGGTTTTAACCAATAGTCATACAGACAGTCATACACCTCGCATACCGGCCTTTAAGCAATGCGCCCACAGTGAGTCCCACCAGTCTCTCGATACGGCTTAATATATTAGTCGCCTCCAAAATAAATCCAACCCCTTTCAACCCCTTTCAACCGAGTTCAACCTTCATGCATGACGCTCTCTGCTTGAGGTCTTCTTTTTATTTCACTCAGTATCATTAATACATAGCATATTAAGTAGGCGGTGCGCTGATCGTTAAAAAGGAGCAGCCAAACAGCAAGCTAAATATATATAAAAAAAACAGAGAAATTGAAATATATAACATGGCTACCCAGTTGTATAAAATATACAAAGTAAATAATCCCGAGACAGCATACATAAAAAGTACATTTTAATTCTTCTGTGTGTAATAACATTTAAAAACCAAACTTATATTGATATTTTGTTTAATTATCTTTAAAGAACTTCTTTTACACACCCATTAACAAGATTTAAGCACATTGAATAATTGAGTTTGAAATAACTTAATTCCATGGAAAATGTTTTTTGCTAATATTTTTGTTTGTTTTTTTGTTTTTTTGTTTTTTTTGCGAAACCAAATCTAAATCCATGAATGCACAATGGATCTTCTAACGAGTGCAGTTTTAGTTTTACATTCACTAAGGAAAACATTTTCTTGCATAGATCTAGGGCACCTTTATCTATGCCGAATTCAATGGGCATCTTTATTATGGGCAACCATATCGATGGTACATCTTCTTACGGCAACTTTAACCAAGGCATCATCATCTGACACCCCTTACGCCAAGACACATTAAAAAAAAAAAGTAGGTTTAAAACGCTGTGTATTTAGGTCAGCTTCATCAGTGACACCATTGTTTGGGACGTGTCTATTTATGGACTCTTACACCTAGAGAACTTTCACGTACGGCAGCCCAGTCTAGGACACCTTGATGCCATCACATTTAAGTAGCCTTGGCACCAATCTCAAACATGTAATTATTTTTTTTAATTGACCAATAAAAGAGCCATGTCCGTTTTTTGTTTGGTTCGTGTGTGTTTGAATTTCTGCGCTAAGCAGAATCCATTCTGATGGATGCGTCCTAGATCTTTCGTTTGTCTTCTGAGTTCATGTTATAAACCGACATCCATTTAAATAACAACGTTTTCATAAAAAATCACCATCTTTCTTTACAGGATGTTCCAGCGTTGACCTTGTGTCGCTTTGAGCTCCGAACACCGTCGTCATGAACGCCATCGTACTCTCGAACATTCTGGAGTTAGCGTTGGTGATCTCCTTGGGGCTCGCTCCTCGTTCCCTGGCTTCGTAGTCGGTCGACGTCTTCGACGCCGGCACGGACAGGGTGGCCTTTACCTTCCGCGCCACACCGACCTCCGTTTCAGTAGGCGTCGCGATGACAACGTTCGACTCGCTGGTTTGCACGGAAGCTCTGCGGATGACTCGCGGCGTCACCTTCGGGAGGCCGCCTTCCTTCTCCTGGAGGTTTGTGCCGAGGCGCTTGCCGGAGTTCCGTTTCAGCGCCTGAAGTGCCTGAACGATAGAGCTCCGCCTCACGCCTCTGGATTCGTTCCTCCCCATGACGTTCTCGTCGTAGTTGTTGGCAAGGCTCAGCATGGGGTTGGCCCTCTTCACCTCGCTGCTCCTCGTCTGAGACTCGACGTTAGATGTCGGGTCCACCCTCGGCAATTCCTTGTTTCCAGGAGATGGTGTGCACTGTCTCGCATTAGTGTTTAAGGAGTTTCGTTGAAAAACTCTGGTGAAACCCATGACCCCAAGAGGGTTGAACCTAGCATAGCTCTGTGTGCTTTTAACCTCGAGTTTACTGAGCGAGCTGTGGCGTCTGATTGTGATCGCGGCGTCGACGTTGCACTGGGAATACTGACCAGAGGATTCCGAGTGCCGCCTCTGACTCTGAAACTCAACGATTGCTGCTGAGTCGCTGACGCTGTACTGGCTCTGTTGGATCTGAAGACTGTCTGCTTAAAGAAAAAAAATGCATAAAATAGGTGAGAGGAAACTGAATGGTGTTGTTAGTGACAAGGTGTAAAGTAATGAAAACGTTACAAACAAACAACAGGTATTGCTACCTGGGCTGCAAAATTTTACCTAAACTTAGAGGGCTTAGAAAATTATTTTTGAACTCTTTCGATTGGCCACATAAAGTATTACAAGAAAGAATGAGATTTTCGATGTTTAGAATTTAGACTTGGATTTAAAAAAAAAAATCAAAAAAACTTTGGTTATACTTTTTTTTTTTTTTTAAAAAAAAAAAAAAAAAAAAAACTTTGTTTATAATTTTTTTTTTTTTTTTTTGGATACAGTAATCAGTTGACCTTAATCCAAAATAGCCGAACACTTGTGAAAGAAATGTAATTGTTTATTTAACTAGACATGGTCTTTCTTCAAATGCGTCCAAGATACACACTCCAACAGTTTAGGGAATTGGTGAGCCTTTTGAGTTACTTACCAGGGGCTCAATATTATAATTACTTAAGTAGAAAAACAAAAAAACATAATAATCAACATTTCTTTCAAAATTTTAGTTGTTTTTTTTTTTTACTTAAGAATTTTTCATTTTTAACTAACTTATTTTACAAATAAGATTGACACATGTTTTATTTATTTATCTTTATTTAATATATATTTAACCCCCAACTTTATTATTTTTTTTTCTTATTTTAACTCTCGTTCCAACACCTATTAACGATTCTCTTCTTTGTAACTTCTCGCTTTCCCTCCCTTGTATCAAACGTATTTTATCAAATTATATTTTCACTATCCAACATTTCACCTCCCCCCCCCCAATCCCCCAGACACTTTTCAACAATTCCTAATGTCTTTCATGTTTTCTGTTTATCTTATCAAATCTTTCTTCTTGCCTTGTCTACTCTAACGTGTGTTTCACACATTTACTTGCCCAGATAACCTTCCATCTTCAACACGCTAACCCTATATCACACGCAAAGCTTCTATGACATATGGTTTTGACCTGAGAACCTTCTCTGTGCTTTGACCTCCTTTCCCTGGACCAACACCAAGCAAGTCACGGAGGTGGCCGCCGCCATGCACAGCATCACGAGCAGAAACAGGGTCAGGTGCTGGGCTATCTTCCTGGACGTGTTCTCCCTCAAGTGGTCTCTGTTGGGACCCACAAGATTTGTCGTGTATTTCACAACGGGCTTCTGGGTTATCCCTTCGGTCGCTTTGAAGGTTTAATAAAATTTAAAAGGATTACGATTGTAATTTTATTTTTTTTTAAATTAAAAAAAAATAATAATAATTTGGTAATGCTGACGGGGTTAGGCTGTACACAACAGAGTCTAGTGACGCAGATGCGCGCATAGCACTGCCCCAATGGCACATACTTGAGGAAGCTAGATCTCAACAGTGACCTTAACTGCCGGCATTGCAGCCTGGTTCCGGAAACACCAATGCACATATTGACCGAATGTCCCTCACTAGATGCTCTGGGGGGAGCCAGGGCGGTGGGAGAGCCCTACGTTAGGAAAATATTGTATGGCTCGGCTCAGCAGACGGAGCTGGTAGCCAATGGAAGAGCCTGGGTCATAAGAGAGTAATCCCAGACCCATTCCAGAAAATTTGTTAGCAGCTAGTTACGCTGGCGGTCTACTCATGGGAGATGAAAGCGTGGATCGATCCAGATAGAGGGATGACGCGGAGAAGGTCATGACCCTATTTAATATAATAATAAAGATTATTCGAAAATCACGCTTTACAAAAGGGTCGGAGCGTGGTACATACAAAATTGAAGTACAAAATCCAGCAATATTTAACGCCGTTGGTAACAATGATGAAATCTCTCTAAATCCTTCTTCTTTTTTTTTTCTTTTGAGAGATATGCTTTGTTGCTGGGAGAGTATATCTCTAAAAGAGTAATCCGAGGTACCCACGGACACTAACTGCAGCTATAAACAAACTGACTCTATCCTTGTTTTAAAAAAAAACAAGAAAAAACAAACTAAATAGCACCTGTAGGGCAATTTGGTTTCTGTTTATCTAGCTTCACATCTAGTTACAAACATCCAATTCACCCTGCACCGTAAGCATGGCCTACGGCGACCACTAGCAAACAATTACGAGCGCGACAAACAGACACACCGACCCGACCACTACTCAGTACCTGCCTCTATCCAACCACTACTCAGTACCTGCCTCTATCCAACCACTACTCAGTACCTGCCTCTATACAAAATATTCTGTAGCGTTGGCATCGGCTTTGAGGAAGAACGTTGGGGGAAAAAAATGTAATGATACAAACAAAACACATTTTTGAGTGGAATTTTTTGCTGCAATATATTTTAGTTTCGACGGTAACACATGAAAAAGTCAAGGGTTGGAATAAAAAAACTAAACAAGGGGTAGTATCCTTCTATTATAAATGAAAAAAACAAACCAACTTAACATGAGATACACCTCTGTTATAAATGAAAACAGTAAACACAGGGCACCCTTCTCTTATTTTTGGAACGCCCTTCCAGTCGCTCTCAGAAACAGCCAGACACTGGAGTCCTTTAAAACCGATTTAAAAACACATCTATGTCGCATACAACTTCTGGGGGGATGCTATCTACCATCTTTTTCAGTTAATATATTTTGGCCTGTGTTGCTTATGGTTGAAATGGGATGAAAGACTTTGACTTTGTATGCTCGTATGTAGTTTTATATTGTTGCGTCTGTTTTTTAAATGTGATAAATTTTTGATTGTTTTCATTTCTCTTTTTAATGTGGTTGACTTTGTACCACGCTTCGAGCTTTTGGGGATAAAGAGTGTTTTTCAAATAAACTTTATTATTATTATTATTATAAATAATTTTAAAAAAAAACAACTTAACATGGGACATCACTCTATTTTATATGAAAACTCTAATCCTGTTTATGCCGAAACAAAGCCCAATTTTAAACAACAACAAACCTTTTACTTTTTGCCAGAAACATTAAAACTACTTAACAATAAAACTAGCTTTACGTTTTTTTTTTCTGACATTTATCTAATCCACACTAAAACAGCTTTTATCTAGCTCTACATTTACACAATGTGTACAATGTCCAATCTAAGGTTTGTTGGTTCGTGTGCAAAATCATGTAGTTGTGTGCAAAGTTTTACAGCATCAATTTTTGTGTGTGCACAATGCTTCAGCTCACAAACACAAACACACGCTTACGTGGAAATTTGCTGCGAGTATACTCAAAAACTGCTGTGCGGCGTCTGCGAGATAGCTGCGTGGCCGCGTAGTTTACAGGGAACATTGAATTTATACTATCAAAATGAAATGCTGTACGCGTTTCCCATGCCCTTTAGAAAAAATTGAACCTAAATTATTGACCCTAAATCTCAATGTAAATTATATACATTTAAAGAAATGAATCTTGAATACACTAGCAAACATGTAAAAATTACAATAACATCACACCCACATTTTGAATACACATACGTTGCACCTAGAATAGATCTACATGGCAAAAAGAGCACAACTACTTGGCACAAAGAGAACACCTACTTGGCACAAAAGAACACTACTTGGCACAAAGAGAACACTACTTGGCACCAAGAGAACACTACTTGGCACAAAGAGAACACTACTTGGCACAAAGAGAACACTACTTTTCACCAAGAGAACACTACTTGGCACAAAGAGAACACTACTTGGCACAAAGAGAACCCTTACTGGGCACAAAGAGAATACCTAATTGGCACAAAGAGAACACTTACTTGGCACAAAGAGAACACCTACTTGGCACAAAGAGAACACTTACTTGGCACAAAGAGAACACCTACTTGGCACAAAGAGAATACCTACTTGGCACAAAGAGAACATCTACTTGGCACAAAGAGAATAACTACTTGGCACAAAGAGAATACCTACTTAGCACAAAGAGAATACCTACTTGGCACAAAGAGAACACTACTTTTCACCAAGAGAACACCTACTTGGTACAAAGAGAACACCTACTTGGCACAAAGAGAACACTACTTTTCACCAAGAGAACACTGCTTTTCACAAAGAGAATACCTACTTGGCACAAAGTGAACACCTACTTGGTACAAAGAGAACACCTACTTGGCACAAAGAGAACACTACTTTTAACCAAGAGAACACCTACTTGGCACAAAGAGAACACTACTTTTCACCAAGAGAACACCTACTTGGCACAAAGAGAATACCTACTTGGCACAAAGAGAACACTTATTTGGCACAAAGAGAATACCTACTTGGCACAAAGAGAACACTTACTTGGCACAAAGAGAATACCTACTTGGCACAAAGAGAACACCTACTTGGCACAAAGAGAATACCTACTTGGCACAAAGAGAACACCTACTTGGCACAAAGAGAACACCTACATGGCACAAAGAGAACACCTACTTGGCACAAAGAGAACACTTACTTGGCACAATGAGAACATCTACTTGGCACAAAGAGAACACTTACTTGGCACAAAGAGAACATCTACTTGGCACAAAGAGAACATCTACTTGGCACAAAGAGAACACCTACTTGGCACAAAGAGAATACCTACTTGGCACAAAGAGAAATCTTACTTGGCACAAAGAGAACACTTACTTGGCACAAAGAGAACACTTACTTGGCACAAAGAGAATACCTACTTGGCACAAAGAAAATACCTACTTGGCACAAAGAGAATACCTACTTTGCACTAAGACGACACATATTTAGCACTTGGGATTCCCCTCCTTTTCATCAGTAATAAAAATACAAATATGTTGCACCAGGAATGCACCTACTTTGCATACAATGTTTCCCTTTTGCACCTGGTTGGCATCTGTGACATATGCCAATGTAGTTACACGTGTCATTTACGCAACTGTAGTCACATGGCATGTCACAGCCAGGCCCGTAAAAAGTTGATGGGCATTCTGTGGAGTTGTAAATGAAGGGATACTTTTATTGACAGTCTGCGCGTTTGTAAATGAAGTAAATAGTTGAAGGACCGTGTGCAGTTGTAAATGAAGGTAAAAGTTGATGAATAGACTATGCAGTTGGAAATGAAGTATAAAGTTGATGGACGGTCTGTAGAGTTGTAAACGAAATACAAAGTTGATGGACAGGTTGACCCAGTTGTAAATGAAGTAAATAGTTGAAGGACCGTGTGCAGTTGTAAATGAAGGTAAAAGTTGATGAATAGACTATGCAGTTGGAAATGAAGTATAAAGTTGATGGACGGTCTGTAGAGTTGTAAACGAAATACAAAGTTGATGGACAGGTTGACCCAGTTGTAAATGAAGTAAATAGTTGATGGACCGTGTGCAGTTGTAAATGAAGGTAAAATTTGCTGAATAGTCTAGGCAGTTGGAAATGAAGTACAAAGTCGATGGACGGTCTATAGATTTGTAAACGAAAAACAAAGTTGATGGACAGGTGACCCAGTTGTAAATGAAGTACACAGTTGATGGACGGTCCGTAGAGTTGTAAATGAAATACAAAGTTGATGGACAGGTTGAACAAGTTGTAAATGAAGTAAATAGTTGATGGACCGTGTGCAGTTGTAAATGAAGGTAAAATTTGATGAATAGACTAGGCAGTTGTAAATGAAGTACAAAGTTGATGGACTGGCTATAGACTTGTAATTGAAATAAAATGCGCAAAAAAAAAAAAAACCAATAACACAGTTTTAAACTGAGCAAAGCGCAATGTGACCTTATTGTGGTTTTTAAGTTTTATATGGATGAGAAGTTAGTGAATCACATTAAACAAACGCGTATGTCATCTAGCTCTTCCTCTCCGGAATAACGCTCCCATCGTCGACTTCAACTGAAGATTTTTGCGTATCGACGATGGGATCGTCGATGTATAAAAACCGGTTTATTTCGGTTCTTTTCTTAGCTATTGGTATTTAGTTACTGAAAATCAACCCTAGAATGATTTCCCATTGTTAAATGTCCAGTTTTTTCTGGGTTTGAAAGAGGTTTTGCCGTGAACGGAGTGCTTAAAGCTGTTGTTTACATTGTCGATTTCAATTTTTTTTTACAAAAATGAAATCTTGACCTGACCCATCTGGAGATCAATCTAAAAAAGTTTTAAAT